AGTGTATGGTGTGCATTCCTTATTTGCATCATCTGCCACCGCGATTGTGTGGACAGCTTCTCCCTAAAGGCTATATCATCGCTTTCTGTTGAGTTTTACTGTTGTGTGTTCTGTGAAATCCCATCAGACTGGTGATGGTGATATGTTATAAAATGATCCACGTCCGATCAAGAACCAGCACCAAGCTTCGTGATGGAGAAATAGGACATGCTCGATGAAAAACATGCCTAAGTAGAGGAACACATGTTCTGGGAATTGATGGGTATATGCTTTTCCTGCAGGAGACCCACTAGCGGCAGGTTGAACAGTAAAATCTCTGAGCATATCTCGGCCTCCGTAACTCCTCTCCATGTTTGTCTGGAAGAACAAAGAAGACCAGAACTGGGCTCATGTGACGCCTCACAAGCTCACAAGCCTCAGGTAAAGCATTTATATTTTAATTCCTCAAATGTGTGTAGCATGCTATTAAAATTAATTATAATTAAATTTTTTATTCTATTCTATTTGTAATTCTGACAACAGGTTAAAAGAACCTTTGAGAATCAAAAGACAGAAGAAGAGATTCCCGAGGAGGTGGCGGAAAGTGATTCGATCGAAGTCGAAGCAGGAGAGTTAAGACAAAGCCAGCCGAGTATGGCCAATACTATCAGCAACATGAAAATGACTAATCCCATAAAGGGACTAGTTAGCAAACGCCGTAAACGTTTCACAGAAGATGGTTTTAATCTTGATCTCACATGTATCCTTGTCTTATTGTTTTGCACATATAAACAATTAGAAATAATTAGATATTAGAATATCATGCATTGTACATACTCTATTTACAGTAACGTAAATATAATATGCATAATACATAGTATTCTGTGCATTTTAATATAATGAATCAATTGATGTTGAATAAATTTCTTAGCGAGTGTTATGACATTAGATATAAAAGCGAATTTAATAGCGATGGGTTTTGCTGCTGAGAAACTGGAATAAACTACTGGAATCGAAGCATAAAGATCATTATAAAATTTATAATCTGTAAGTGAAAAGATTTAACGTTAAAACGTTTTTTAAATGACTGGTATATCATTGTGATAATAATGTTTTAGGTGTTCTGAGAGATCGTATGATTGTAAAAAGTTCAAACAGAGAGTAGCTACTTATGCATTTGATGATCACAATCCACCAAAGTTGGAGCAGATTAAGCCTTTCTGCGAAGACGTGCAGTCGTGGTTATCCCAAGATAAGGACAATGTGGCCGCAGTTCATTGCAAGGCGGGCAAAGGTCGGACGGGTGTAATGGTGTGCTGCTATTTACTTCATAGCAAACAGTTTCCCACTGCCACAGAAGCCCTTAATTATTATGGAACTAAACGGACTCACGATAGGTAAGCATTACAGAAGATTTGAAGATTTAGCATATAATGATGTCTTGATGATTGAGAATTATCTTATTTATTCGACTTTATTATAATTTAGGAAAGGCGTAACGATACCATCGCAGAGAAGGTATGTGGATTATTATGCTACCCTCCTCCAAGAAGGTGTCAGTTATGAACCAGTAACATTATTACTGCGTAAAATACAACTGGATCCGGCTCCTATTTTCAATGGAGGTCAAGGCTGTAAGTACTAGTATAAAAGTTATGTATGGATTGTTATCGTTAACGGGAATTTATTTTACTAACTTTTTAAGAAATAAAACGTACCTTTCTCTCTTTAACTTTGTAATATTTTTCTTGTGCAACTTTTTATTTGTGCTATATTATATTTTTCTGCATTTCATGTTTTTAGGTCTGCATTTTGTAATCTCGGAATCAAATAAAAGGATATTTTCTGATGATTATGAGGTTCGGAAAGGTACATCTTCTATATGCATCTCACTGCAACACACTGTCGCTCTAACGGGAGATATACGGGTGGAGTTCTATAATTATAAGCCAAAAATGAAACGAAAGGTACATATTGCAATATTTATTAACTTATTTGGCACGACAGAGATCAATGAACTGTGTTTTACTGCATTTTTCAGGAAAAGATGTTTCATTTTTGGTTTAACACATTTTTCGTCCGTGAGAAAACGAATTCCGAATGTGACAATGGCGATTTACATGTTGAAAGATCGGCGAGGGCATTTAGCTGCGACGGCACAGCCATGGAATTACCGATGGTTATGTCGCATGTGAAACCTAGAACTGGATCATTGGCGAGTCTCGGTCCTATGCCGCCCACTCTCGTTTTACGGATAGATAAGTCAGGATTGGATAAAGTACACAAGGATAAAAATCACAAATTATACAGTCCGGATTTTAAAGTTAGTTTCTTTTCGTATTCGCAAATTATAATTAAAGAAAGTAGAAAGAAGTAGAATGTATATTTGGATATTTTAGTGTTAAACATTCAGCATTAAATATTTGCCACTATAGCTAAAAAATTCTGAAAATGTATAGCGTATACAATCAGTATATTAGTGTATCTAAATTCCAAGTACTTCGCATTAAACATTTTGTTAGTCAAACTTTTTCGAATTAAACCAATTAAATATACATCTATTTAAATAATAAAATCTTATCAAGCGCAGGATACAATGGTCGATTATTCGCAATCTTTTTTAATTGCAGGTGAGTCTATTTATGCATAGCGTGGGCGGGAACATATCGCCAGCTGTGCCAGCGACGACGAACAGAGGTGGCGATGGTGTGCAGCTGGGGATGAGTGGTCAGGAGACACCGAGCGAGTCGAGCGAGGCGGACAGCAGCGAGTGTGACACTACCGGTGACGAGGACGGTTGGGAATCCGGTGAGTCCTCTGCATCCCTGGTGGTGAACCACCAACACCATCACCCTCTTACACACAGCAGTAGCCGTACACATGTTAGCAGTCTCCGTCCGCGATGCAGTCTCAAGGAGACTGCCAAGGGTTTGCTGTCGCGCGGCGACAAGAATCGAAACAGTAACAGGCAGGGCGTCTCCGGTGCGAGCGCGAAACGTTCCTCTGCACCGTTCGCTCGCTCAGCCACTCTCGACACGTAGTAGCTTAACAAACGCTTTCGGTACTTAAGAACGATTGGCGGTGTTTCGCACCGTAACGCGTTTCGCACTTTCACGAAATCGCGTGTCTCGCAAAGTCGCGACGTGCGCGTTCTGCTTTTCTTTTGGTTTTTTTTTCTTTGTGGACACGCATTGGACGGCTTAGTACGCGCAAAATGATGACTAGAATCCGGACAGAAATCCGTTCTACGACATTTTTTTGCAGTAACCTCCGCTCGTTACGTTTCTCTTTCTCTTTTTGTATTATCGTTCCGTTTTTCACTCTTTCTCTTTTACTCTCTCTCTCTCTCTCTCTCTCTCTCTCTCTTACTTTTTCTTTTTCTTTGTCGTGGGACCATGAGCTTAATTTTTTTTTCGTATTGACGATTCATGTCTTATCGATTATTATTAACTGTTGGTCGATTCGCCACGTATAATGCTAGCGAAGTAGTTGTTATTGTGAATGTGCACCAAGAATTTCGAGTAAATTGTTTGAGTAAATTTGAGTAAATTGATTGGTTCGCCACGTAGAAGCCGAGAGAAGTAGCACCGGTGTAATTTGATTTTAACAAGGAGATGCACATTCGAAATATTTAACGATGGCAGCCCAATTTTGGTTACTTCAACATGATAAAGTTCTAACACAATCTACAAAGAAAAGACGCATATTTTGCCTCCGCTATGATTTGTCGTGTTTTCCGAGGTTTTTCGTGCTGTTGAAATGACGGCAAATGGGATGGGCATTTACTTGTTAAAACTTTAAAAGAGACTCTTAAAATAACATAGGTCAAAATTATTATGAGTAAGAAAAACTGAAGTAAATTAGTATCAACAGTGATTTGTAATTCAAATATCGATAGGTAGTTAAAAAATCATTTTGTATCGAAAAACTGGCTTTCTTTTCCAGTTTTTTCTTCTTTCAAGTATAGAAATTATTGTAACTCGTTATATTATCTCGAATATTAAAAATGAAGAAAATTAATATAGAGTCGTGCACAAATTAAATTCTAATAACATTCTGCGATTTAAAATGTACCTATATGTAAAATTGTTCTGTTCAATTCTGTTCAATTCTATTCAAGCGAAGCAGATTTTATTTTTTTTTTTTAACAATATTATCTATATTTTTGTTGAACTAGCGCGTATATTTGCGCACAATCGATTTTTTCCATCCGACAGAACTTTCGGATAAACCAATATCACAGAATGTGCAATATTAGTGCCTATAATGCGATAATGTGTTTTTAAAAAATAACAATGTAATTTTTTCTATTTTTAACGCCTAAAATTACGAAGCAACTTGGCACTTGCATTGATTACATTTCCTTCTATTCTCTTTTCTTTCATATTTATTTAACATGTTTATTTTAAATAAGAACAAAAACATCTATATATTTTAAATTTAATTGACGGCATATATTTTTTTTTTAGATAAAGCTTGAAATTTCATCCATACTTCTCTTTCGCGGTAAGCTGGTAGTAAAAAAGAAAAATTAGAATAACTCCGTGAGCACGTTAGAGTTGAACTGTGTAGAGAACAATCGCGAATTTAAGCCAAACGTTCCGCAAAATGTGGATATACATAGAAAGGAAGAAGAGAAAAACACAGAATATGCGCGTTCAAGCTATGCGGTGAATCCGAAATTTTTTTTTGCTATCTTCTAAATACAAACAGTTTTGTGAGCTCGCGTCTCCATGCACATCTCATTCGCATCGAAGCACTTTATTTCATAAAAATAATGTTGTTTGTTGACCATTCATTTTATGATTATAACTACATAGTACACATATTCATACATACATGCATCTATACACGCGCGCGTAAACACATGCACATATATAAATACATATATAAATGCATGCATGCATACGTTCATACATATATGTATGTTTTGTATGTATATATGACTGTATATACCTGTGTATGAATATGACGAAGATATATACATAAAGACGTCGAGAGAAATTATAGAGATTTACAAATGTAACTATATTTATTTAATGTGACAGAAATGCGTTGGATTTGTGTACAGTCTGAAAGATAGTTATTCCACCAAAATTAATCGTGCTATAACTCTGGAACAATTTATTTGCCGTTGGGGCGATTATAAATAGGACGCAAAATAGAGAGAAGCGAAGAAGCGGTGAGAGAACGACGGTAAAATACAGTTTTAAGAAGCGGTGTTAAAACTGATATTTTATCGAAAGTTTCTGGGATTTCTTTTAAACATACGGGCTCAGACGTACGTGAGGAAACCTTCGTTTGTCCGTTTATCGACGACATGGAAGTACAAATACGTAGAAATCAGTCTTTATATACATCGTGGGATTAAAATAAGCCGCGGATGTTGCTGATTACTAGATAATGATTTTTATACTCGGTTCGTAATAATGACTCTCTCAGACGAGAACTCGGACTTTATATGAGGAAATACGGCAGATAACGTGAAAGAAAAGAAGAGAAAAAGGAAAATCTGAGGGTAGATTTAAAATCATCTTTCTGTCGGTAATTGCTTTTTATTATATATACATATAGAGAGAGGGTTGCGCGTTCTTAGATTAAGATATGTACGTAACTGTTGTTGCGTAGAATATATGTATAAAATATAAAGAAACATAAATTATTAGATAAATTATTAGACGGTTGAATACATACACACACACACACACACACACATACATACACAAACACACAACTGGCTTCGGGGTCAAAAACATGTAGTTATTACGTAATTAACTGTCGAAGTCTACGATTCTTTTTCATTATATTAACTAGGCGAAATTATAGATATTGGTAATTCAATTACAATGCGGTAGCACGCAATAGCATTATTAGTATTATGTTATCGGATTATTCTTTTTTTTTTGTATAAGGCTAGACTTGTGATACGGTAAAGTAACTGCGCGTTTTACTTTTCGCACGGAGTCTGACTTTAATTTGGTATATACATATATACCTTATTATAACTTTCAAAGGAAAAGAAAGAAAAAAAGTAGGAAATGAAAAGAGTGAGAAGGGTTTTCTTTCATGATTTCAATAAGGCGATTATTTCTAACGGTTAGTTAGTAAAAAATGGAACGCACTCCATATGTTCCATCGTGAATGCGTCGTAAACAGAATTATATTTATTACGTATAAAATCGTTAGTTTAAATAAAAGTAAGATATATAACGATAAAGATTTTTACGAGCGTTTTCTTCGCCTTGTGCTCGTGAAAAATAGACGAATTAGTTTGTCGAATGGCCAGGAATTCGCGAGGTATAATCGCGAGTAAATTTTTCGGAGAAGTGTATTTCCCCCACATTCTCCCCGAAGCTAGAATTAAGTGTTCATCGCACAATTTTGTACATACGTAGCTGATTAATTATATCGATGTATTTTCTTAAGAACTACTTTTGACAGACTAATTCGGTATAGCACAGTGTAGAAGAGTGTACTAGACTTGGCAGTTCCTGTCTGTGGTATCTTTGATATCATTAATTCAGAGTCGATTTTTCTTTAATAACAAAAAAATTGATATTAATTTCCTTTTCGGAAATTAAACTTTAAAGGCGTAATTAATTCTTATTTAAAACTTTATTTATTATTTATTTTTAAGTAGATTTTAACGCAACAGATTTGTAAGTTGGGGACCAGTTACAGATATAAAAAATAAAATTAAATATAATATGTTACATTATTATTTAATATTGGAAATTGAAATTTTATGCGACAAATTATTTCGTTTGAAAATCTTGGCTAAGGAAAAATTTATTTCAAATTGATTGAAAAATCCGTAGACAAACGTTTAGCTGGGTCTAGAATACTCTTACGGAGTCTATAAACGCGGAAACGTGACAAGTCCCTTTTTGATTTCTCTCAACATTTTTGTAATCGTAGCATTGAGATTTGTACTTGGACTTTCTGAAAAGCATGGATGTTGAATGTATTATGACTTTGACGAAAAAGTGATTCATTTTTTTCATATCTTTTTTCGATATCTCGAACGAATATAAGCAAATATCGAAGCCTCATTACGTTTTCTTTACCTCTCTTTCTCCGTTCTTTTTTTTTAAATTTTATTTTAAACTCTTCATATCATTCTCGTTGCATGTAAATAATTTATACAATTGCGACTACTTGAAGATATTGTTACAATGTTTGAGACATGTGTAAGATCTGTATAAGCAAGATACGTTTTACTTGTATAATAATTATTTTGTGATACTATTCGTATACTTATATTATTAGCCGTATCGTTATATCATTATTATTAGTAATATTAATGTGTTATTATTAGAAAACGCTACTGCTATCACACACACTCACTTACACATACACACACCCACGCACACACACACACACACATACACACACACATTATATACACATACATATGTTGCTATTCTCCAATCAACCACGAGACATCTTTACAATTATTACTTAACGTAATTGAGATGTTAACGATTTTTCAAAGTACTACCATGTTTACGAATGTACTACTATGTTTACGAATGTACTTCTGTAATTCGATATTTTTAAGGATTATATATATGCATATATACATTATATACAAATACGTGGTACTATACATTTTGTAACATTTTCTATTTGCAGCGCCTATTTCTGTAGAGAAACATACATATTACTTTTTTCAATCCTATCTCCAATGTTTTTTCTTTACATTCTCAACCATTCTCTCTTCTCTTTCTTTTTCTTCTGAAAGGATCGTGTAGCGTTTACGACATCCGTAACTGCAATTATATTTTCAATGCTTGATACTCTTATGCTCGTTGAGAAAATCGAAGTATATCTATTATAATACATATTTGAAGTCAGATTAGATTAATTTTAAAAGGCTTGCGTTCTATCTATTGCATTAAATGCGTTATTACATCCGCTTTTATGTGTAGAAATATTACATCCTGATTCATATCGCAATTGCAAGGAGACTGCCGAAGGAAATTCTGTTTTTAAATCTTGCTTGCGTATACAAAGTTTTTATTTTCTGAAGATTATTGTAATTTAAAAGTTTTTATATCGAACTCTTGATCGAAAAGTTTAATTTAGAAATTGCATTGCGCTATCTCATGATATCTTTTAAAATAATGTTTTTTATGATTAATACGTCTGAAAATTGCATCAGAAGCAGTCTTTTTTCAAGTGTTCTTTACATGCTCACTTTTATTCTTCCCATTGTTTATATATTGCATTAATTATTAAAACATGATCACGACCACATTGTATGAACGATGTTGTTCTGTAAAATAGGAAATATTTTGTGACTCAACACTGCACTGTTCTCTGTTTAATGCATCG